TAATGTTGAATTTTGTCCAATCTATTAAAAATCCTCAAAGCTTGGTCGGGCTTGGCGGATATGCAGTTTTTCTAGCTCTTTTTCCAAGCCTGACCAAGCTTTGAGGATTTTTAATAGATTGGACAAAATTCAACATTAGATTCAGATGGAGTAGAGAAAATTGGTTATATCTATCACAAAAGCTTGGTGGTGTCTGGTGGTTTTTCATATCCGGGGTCAAAATCTTTAGCATAGGGTAGAAAAGCTTGGTGCATGCCTAAACCGGATATCAGACTTGTGATCAGCATAAAAAGTTATACTTCGTCAAGAATGCTTCAAGTAGGAAATCATTGGACGTCTAAGGTAGTTGTCTCATTGGACAAAAGTCACTCAACCTTGTAGTCGAAATGAATACATAGATTATAACAACAGAACTCGCGTTTACCTGAACTGTCTATGAATGTGGGTTTCTGTTGATGGTGATGGTGATGGTAAAACAATTTCATCACCCTTGGAAACGTCTAATATTAAACCATTAAAATTAATGTTATATTCTTGATCTGACAGTTTTACTACAATATGATCATTTCGTATCGTGTGATCCCTTTAACAACAAGAGAAAATTTTGTTCGGCTATAAAATTCATCTGTCTTTAGGTATATACATCGCACCGTTCGGTGTTCTAACTTACGCTGTACGAGGAGTCAATACGCTAAAATGTACTTGTTGGATATTTTTTAAAATTTCAATATAAAGTTCGACTCTTTCTGCCATAACTAGTTATCTATAACTGAAATCATTTTTAAAACAAAAATCATTTCTTAAGAACATATTGCATAAGAAAAATAGTATTTTGAGCATAAAGTCGAATAGAGAATAATTTTTTTAACAGATACACGATCAACGAATATACGTCACATCTTCTGATGTCTTCCTAAAGAAAATATCCTTTAAAAGCAAAGAGCGGATTATCAAGATATAAACCATTTTTCATCCAAAAAAGAAAATTCTTTCCCTAAAACTGGTAAACTAGCGGAATCTGTCATCATATAATAGCTAATATGTATCATTCGACCGATTGCATGTTAATCAATGTTAGTCTTACACAAGCATATTATTAGCATAATTAAGAGTTTTCTCGAATACAACGAAATAGAAAATTCAAGCAGATGAGTGATATTGTTATTTGAACTAGAGTTTCGTTAGGACATATAAACAAATCAAAACATATAAGATATATACGTTGTTCGTGATCAGCTGAGGGTACCCAAAAAATATCTGAGTTCTCAACAATCTTTTTAATTGAAACTGTTCTCTTTTTGGTCTTCGTTCTCATTTCAGACTACAAACTGTTCTGAAAAGAATTCTTGTCCTATTACAAACATGCGAAATGGAAAAATCAATGTTTTTTATCCTGATATTAAAAATCTTTCATCGATTTTGTTCTTTCAAATAGTATATCACCGACTATTGAGATTAAGAAACATTATCAAAAAGTTTTGATTTATTTAGATCGAACAAATATATAGTTTAGAAAAAAATTGTTAGAATGATTCATTATTATCCATTAAATATTTGTTGAAATCTAATGTTTTAGCTGGAAATTATACTCGTTAAGATAATGCAGTGTTATTTGTACTGTGTCTAATATACCAAATAGTAAATGTGTTTCGAACTTAACTTCCTTTTCCAGTTGATCAATGGTACTTTCTATGACTATGTTTATTATTTTTCTTGTTTTTGCTCTAGATGCTTGATGAATAAACGAAAGGATGTGCATACACTTAAAAATTTGTTAAACACTCTTGAAATGTGTAGACATTAACATGGAACATCTGTTCATAAAGAGATCATATCACTTTTGAATATGTTCAAAATTTTTACTTCATTGAATCGATTTCTGAATTGTTGACATTTATGTTCTAAAACATCAATTTGGATATAATAAATTGTTAACTAATAGTAAAAGATGACATTAAATTATATAATGACCAAATGTTACTTGAATGGTGCTCTGTTTTCATCAATAATCGGATTGAATTTAATTCTATTTGTGTATAACATAATACGAATAATAATAATTATAACATTGTTTATCTATGCTTATTTAATCATCAAATTGATCAGAAATCACAACAGCCTGAAGATTTTTCAAAAATAATAGACAATGAAATTAACAGCACATCCTCGAAGACAAAGTAATTCGAAAGAAAACGATAAGGAAATACGATAAGAATTTGCTTTCTTCGTGATATAAATCATCGAGCTCTATTTGTCTATTGTTTTCTGTTCTATCATTATTATATAAAAGCGAATTTACTCTACGCAACCTTCTCCGTGTATGTTGAGGTGTGATATTCACCAACTCGGCTTCTATTTTAAGGAGAAATTATATTGAAAATATAACTGGAAAGAAAACTATGTTTAGATGTTATTTCCTGAAAAGAGTCGTCTCACTGAACTATAGGAATGCACTATCTCTATGTATCGTTTTAGAACGAGATCTTACAAAATCATCTAATAATGTCTGCAATCACAGTCAATATTAGAGATCAAGCTCTTAGATTAGTATTTGGAACAGCAATTGGTGATGCCAAGGATGCAGCATATGAATTATTAACTAGATAACAAACTATCGAACTGAAACAATCTAGAGTAAAAGACAAATAGAAAATAAAACTTTAAAAGATCGATATGCGAGAGAAAGAGCAACATTGTACGCACGGGTATCGGAAACAAATTCTTTTATTTCTCACGATTGATTGGCCATGTGGCCGTTGGACAGATGAAACACAATTAACATTAGCAATCATCAAATCTATTGAAACAACAGCATCCTTATTCAGTGATAAAGGTATGTACTATATCGTAGAAGAGCACATAAATGAATGGAAAAACTGTGTTGAGGGATGGGGTCGGACGAAATCAGTCATTTTGAATGTTTATATAATAAAACTCATACGTACAAGACTAGTGGAAATACAACATCGGTAGAAAATGGGATATAGATAAAACTAGTACTATTAGCGTTCTATTACTACTTATACGTTCAAAAGACCCATGCTGAGTAAAACGTGCAAACGACCGCAGAGAGATGATGAAATTGAAATGCTATGTCGTATAACGCATGATAGTCAAGTGGCTGTTATAACTACATGTGTTTATTCGTTATCCATATATATAAACATATATATAACATCTACCGTCAAACTCTTTAGAGCATTTATTGTTTCTGAAATATGTAGCCGTTCATTACGAAAATGGGTATTACAAATCTAACGTTAATCAGAATGAAAAAAATATTTTGAGCATAAGAATTCAAAAATATATCGAAGAATTAGAACAAACTAAACACACAAGTAGTGAAGATACACTGATAAGTGCAAGTTGTGCAGGACAAATTTTCTACGTTGACAGTCCATCAATGGTTATTGATGTATTTTCATCCCAAATGTCTTCGTTCAATTCGATCGTGTACGCATCAAAAATCGGCGATGATACGGAATGCAATGATTAGTAGTATGATAGAAGACATGAAAGGATAGAAAAGAGATTGATGAGAAAAATGTGAACACTTGTATGGAAAGATGAGTACGTACATCAACTGACTTATTTTTATCGCTCATATCTGTTTTATTGTCTTTACACGGAAATTCCAGTCGAAATTTTCAGTCAGCTTTTTTCAGTTAGTTATTTAATAATGTTACATAAGATTCTTCAACAATATGCTCACATTAAAGTCATCCAATCATGCTCAAATATTTCAAAACGTATGTATTGTGTTGTTTCTTATCGATGTAATTCGATTTGAGACAGAGCATATCTTGCGATTGAGAGATACCATTGTGACTCGTAAATCGTCAGACTTATGATGATTATTTACTAATAAATATAATTTTTTCAGTTAATATTAGTGAAATATGAAATGGTAACATATTCGAATTCTAATGGGTGTTGACTGCCAACGAATAATGCCAATGATAATTTCATGATATCAAAACTTGAAAAAATATCTGTTTGTTGTTTTGAATTAATCATCGTTTCTGGCGATTGATATCGACTAATGTTCGCAGACAAATTGCAACACTTACATGTTGATTACATGATTTTTTTGTTTCTCCCCATAAAATAATTTATCATAGGCTGCGTACCATGTACTATTAATAATCGATGTTGTTATTCACTGACTTTTGTGATAAGTCTTTAATAATAAATATACGTCACTATCAATCTGTAAAATAATAAATTCAGTCACGTATTTAATATTCATGAAATTATTTTGAATGTCAAATGAAAAATATTGATCGATGAAACGAGTGCATTGAATGATCATCTAGAGGTATCACAATATGTGTTAATATCAACAATATATTAGTTAGACGTTTACACTCTAATTTATATAAATATAATTGTTTCTGTAATATTGTACATCACACTTAATAGATAAAGTCTATCTAAATGAGAAAAAAAATTCAGAATGATAGTTAAAAATATAATTCAGAATACATACGTTTTTTCTACACAAGATTATTTTTAATAAAATCTTCAAACATCTTGTAATCTTCTTCTGATTTCATCCAACGATCGTCCAACGTTAGTTTTTACTCATCAGAATGTATACAGGACAAAAATTGAACATGATAAAAAAAACAGTAACACAACATGTAAATAAATCATCCTCAGCTACGTTTGACTAGTGACACGGTGAATACATGCACTATTAAAACAAGAATCATTCTGTTTTAATCTCAATAGACCACTGGTAATTAAAAATTGAATTTTTTTTTATAAATAAACTCTTTCTTCTATGAGAAGTAGACATTTTTTTGAGCTTTGACTGTTTTCTTCTCATTGTTCTATTTCAAAAATAATAAAATATACATATTCACAAAACTCGTACTAACAAATAATACAACTGAAATTATTTATCTTTGTTTTTCTTCATTTACTAGAGCTGTTATAAAAATTTCAAATCGTTGTAAGTTCGAAGTACCACAATAATTATCTAGATTAATATCTTCGTATTTAATACCAAAATTGTTTGATGTTTGTCTTCTACTATTAGTTGTATCATCATCCATTCCTCTAACTCCAATTGATGTCGAACGACGTTGATTTAAGCCAATTTGTATTTGTAAATTAGTGCCAATACGTAGACCAACGGATCTAGAAAAAAAACGAAATATTTTTAGTAGAATTTTCTTAATAATAAATATTTTCTTACATTGGTACATGTGGATGTTCGAGTTGTGCACTAAATTGCACGTCACATAAACTTTTTACTGTAGGTGCAATTGTACTACCGACAATGATCCAACCAAATACTTTTGCCAAAGCACAATGGACGGTGAATTTAAACCAAGCTATCTAAAAAAATCAGTATAAACTCAAAACATTTTTATCTTTTTTCGTGCGTATATTTACCTGACTGATAAGAAAACGTTGCACTTGTTCAATATGATGGACAAATTCAACAAAACGTGATTTATATTGTATACGTATTCGACTATCTTCTATTTGAAATATATACGACCATCTAAAACAAATAATAATTTAAAATATATGCTAATAATAAATATGCTTAGATAATGTAATCTTAGTTGAAATAATTCGTACTTGATCTTACCGACATAGTGCATCATAACCAGGATACACCAAGTGTATGCGTCCAAATGTTGTAGTTGTAGTACTAAATGCACTAACATTGATAATCATATTTATATCACAATTTTCTGCTAATCGATCAAACATTTTTAGAACACTAAATAATAGAAAAAAAAACTTAGATTTATTCTGTATATAAGAATTATTATTAGAAATAATTATATACCGTGTTCGAACAACCATATGTTGTGTATGATCAATAATTGTTTGTAAGATAGTTTTACTCTCTGTTATAGTCACTAATTGATTATGATTAAAAGCATTAATACCAGCTAAACGTCGTAATGTTGGCACACCTAAAAATGAAAATATTTTCGTATTTTTATGTGAAAAATAAAACCATAATCTTTTCTTCTTACCCAACATTAGTGTACTTGGCTTTAATTGTGAATAATGATAGTTTCGAAAATATTGTTGACGCAATAATGCACACAAAGAATGTTCTAAAAGACCGACATGAGCACCCTTTAAAACAAAACAAAAATAATATTAACTTATAAATAATTTTAATCTTATAATTTTACTTACAAAAGTATTATCAACACTATTATTATTATTGAACTCATTTTCACGGAGCAAACTGATTGACATCAGTGTGTCTGGAGAAATCTATAAAAAAAAAGAAACAAATAAACGGTATAATATACAGACAATTCTAAAGAGAGTTCTATTTTTATTCAATTATTTGTATAACTCGAGCTAAGAACTGTATTAATAAACTACTAAAATTATCTATGATGTTCCTTCTCTCACTTCGCCTTCAAAAAACTTCATTTACCCAGCATTTGATTGCATTTCTCGATACTTTCGGTTGTATGATATGTACAATATCTGATGCTTCACGACATAACTAAAAACAACGTACAAAAGTGAAATAAATATGATCATCCAGTGAAGATTTAAAATAATTTACATGAGAAAAAAGTTCTTTTAAGAATATTGTTCGTTGAGCATTTTCCAGTAAAGAATCATACGATTCATAACTATTGTCTTGTGTATTTGTTGTTCTTGTAAAACCGGATGCCATCATTGTCGTATAAGAACGAAGTAATGATTCCCCATCTTCTAGAATAATAGCCAAAAAAGATTTAATGTATAAGACAAAAAAGAAATAATTTAACCGCTCTTACTTGTATCAATTTCAATTTTTAATATGAGTCGAACTTGTAGTTCTTCTGGAAGTTTGATTTCAATCGAACCATTACTTGTTCTATTCGAATTTTTTCTATCGATTTTTTTTTTGCTTGAATATTCTGTTTTACACACTTCAAATTGCATTTTAATTGGAAAAAATGAACCAGCTAGAAAAATAATAAAATTAAAAGTTAAACTTTTATCAATAAAAATAAATTAGACAAAACAGTCATACCAGAACGAAATGATAGATCTCCTAAATAACGATTTGAATTTTGCTGTTTTTTTATTTTCCATCTTTGCCTTAAATTTGATAATTGAACATGAAAATTTTCAATACCATTTGGATTATAACTATTAAATTGATCAGTAGTTTTATTAATAATTTTCATAAATCGCTCATAGGATGCTAATAGTACAGCACCAGCTGATTTACAACTCATACGTTTACTAATCCATGTTTTATACATGGTATCTTGTGATTGCTGTTTAGATAATTGTTCACGTGGTGCACGTACCGTGGTTCCATCATCGCTATCCATAATATTTGGTGATAGTTGAAAATAACCCTTGTGCTGTACAAGTGTCAGTATATCGTGAAGTACACATATTTCAATGTACGCTTCTCTACACAAAATAAAAAAAAGTAGAATTTTTAAATACTTTTTTGAAAGATCATATTCACTTACCTCATTTGTTCAAAAAATGTTTCGAATGTTGATGTTTTTGCTGTAGTGGTTGTTGATGTTTTTCGTTGTTCTTCATGAATTAATCCATTTTCTGACGTTGCTCGATCACTCCCATCTTCCTCGGGATCATGAATTTCCATACGACTTAAAATTTTGGCGAAATGATCGGACATCGTTTGCATACTTTGAAAAAAAAATAAAGTTAGTCTCTTTTACGGACAAAAAGCAATCAATACGTACGATTTTTTTCGCTCGCCATCAAGTGTATATTCATAGACACCAGCTTCAAGAAACGGTTCGATACTCACATTCACAGATGGAGTGTTCGAATCCATACTGTTATCTTTGTCTAATGATATTTTAATCTGAAAAACGAAAAATAGTAAGAAGTTAATTCATTCGATTTCGTCCTGTAAAAGGCTATTGTATTATTTGAAGGTTCAATTTATGAGAGGCATGACACAGCAGCTTTTTATCCTTTGTAACAACGTTAGCGTTAATCTAGTATGAAACATAAATTCTCGCATATGCCTTTTCATCTGCACGAGAGAGCAAATAGAATAAGAGGATTAATTTTACTCCGAGCATTTGTACGTGTCAATTTCGTGCTTTTAACCCTAAAGATTGGAGTAGAAAGGAAAAGTCAAAAGCATGTCTAAGCAAAGAAAGGGTAAATAGAAAACGAATAGAGTTATTTTTCCCCTCTTTCCAGAGTCTATTTTAATTAAATAGACTTAAATGTAAGTCTTGAGCTTCTTTGATCTAGTATACTTCCGCTGTTTTTATACTTCGCTGTTCGGTTAAAAATAAGAACAGTAATCGAACTTATTTTTCCGTGTATGTATTTTTTTTACATTATAGTTTTATTATCTATTGGCAGAAATAGTTAAAATCACGCGCTAATCAAAAAACGCTAAATGACTTTAGAAATTCAGAGTATATTTTTCTTACAGATTAATTATAATAAGTATGATAACTTTTAATAGTTCACTTATTTTGCAACAACTAAAATACTATCCTTTTTCGGATAAGATAACTGGCAATAAAAGTTAGCGGTAAGAGTGCGGTATAGTTATCCTCGAACTTTGATGTGTGTGGTTATTTCTTTTTCGCCAATGAAAAACTAGAGAACGCCAAAATATGGCGGAAACTACAAAAATGACTTTTTGTGAACCGACAGTGGATTTGTATATTTGTGTCGATTTTGTTGTCAAGCAAAATGAAACAATAAAATTAACTGAAATAGGCATATGTCTAGGTGATGAAGAGTCAGTAATTCAGTAACTGACTGTCACGAATCGATGACTGTTGAAAAGATAATTTCATTTAATAACAATTTTAGCCGGCTCGTCCCAGTGAAATTCCTGTGGATTCACTGAAAAATGTTAAATCCCTTTGAGGTCTTAAAATACTTAAGAAGTTCATGAAAAATAGGGATTCTCCAAGGATTTTGCGATGACAGAGCCTCTGGATTTTTAGGGAGATACACTACGCAAAGTACATAAATATTTAGCTCGTTTGTCAGATGGATATTTCCAGATAATAGATAGCATATTCATTCGGAGGGTGAAATCTAAAACAAATTAATTTTTTCATCAAGTATCGCTTATTTTAGCCAAAAGTCTATTGATTTTGACTTGGAAATGTTGCAAAGGACTATGGAAAGGACCTTTAAAGGAAAAAGTAGTTTTTGGACGGAAAAGTGTGGTCTTCCTGATAGCTTCATTCGTGAAATTAATTGATTTTATTCTGATGAGAGGGACGATTGTGTCCGATTTTTGAACGTTTATCCTTTTTGGTTTTAGAACGTTATTTTTTCGTCTGACAGGTGGAGTGGTGCCCAATATTTTTTAGGTTTTGAGTCTATAATTACCTATTTTCGAAGTGAATTACACGTCTGCATGAAGTGAAAACGAATATAACGAAGGATGCCCACCTTTGAAGACATACATGATATATTTTTATGAAATTCCTCCTAAGCTTGCAAAGCAGAGGAGTTGCAGTATTATATTCATAACCCTAGCGAATTTGTTGATTTTGTTATCCCCATTCCCTTTCTCCTCTCTAGTAATGATCTTACGGGACTACAGCAATGATCTTAGAACCAGAGGGTAATGATCTTGTCAGATTATCGTAATGATCTTATAAATTTAGGACTATAACAATGATCTCACGGGACCATAGTAATGATCTTAGTATAATGTACTTACAGAGTTATCGTAATGATCTTACGGGATTGCGTTAATGATATTTTCTTTTTTAATTTCGAAAATCTAAAAATGAATGAATGTTGTACAATATTTGTAAATTCCTGTTGTACATTTTAATGTATCAGTGTTTTTGTAAAAGATTTTTATTGAATATTCTAGTGTTATTGAAATATTACTTAATGATCTTAATATTGTTTGATTAAAACGATTAATATCAAATATTTTTGGAATCGGTAGACCAAATTCTCTTGTTAAATATTTTCGGATCGTTTACGTATCTACTTGGGGCATTTGATTAAAAATTAATCAAATAGAACGAAAACAATGTTAGGCCTTTTTTCCAAGTATCACTTTAGCATAAAGTAGAAGGAGTATCACATTTTAGCCCCGTTAGGGGCTGCTCTGACAAGATTTTTGTATTCTAATGGAGGGCTGCTCAAGAATTTATTCTGTGAAACGTGAAAAAGGTCCAGTTTTTGTTTGTTTTTTAAAAAGTGTTTATTTGATGAAAAAGAAAGGGTTAAGAAAAATGCATTGGGGGGAAAAAAACGTTTAGGAAATAGGTACTAACCGTATGCGGGAATATACAGGAACTTTAAGTGAAATTTTCAACAGAATTCCTGAAAATTAGGACTCGGAGATTTCACAGTGACTCCTCTCAAAATCACTAATGACTTCCCGAGAAGTCTTCCAAAAATTTTGGAACTCAGTGTTGCGATTCACCAGGGATTTTTCAGGAAAACGCGATTAGGGAATCACAGTGGTGGATGAGAGTTTTTTTATGTCGCTTCTCTATTTCGAAATTCTCAAGATGCATCGTATTTCTTGATCTGAGTTCGGAATCGTTTTTTGACGTAGGAATGAATGGTAGTCATCTTTTTAACGGTCGTTCTACTAACGAAATTGAACGTACACACTGTTTTACGCGTTGCTCTGATATTACATTTTGCTTTTTAACAAGTTTTTGAATTCAAAAGAAGAAGACTACAGTTTTTTGCATCTCATTTGATTCCAACATAACTGTTACCTATCATTTGAAATTGCATTACATTACTAATGTATCTTTGAAGAATTAATGAATGAAATGTTAGATACTTTAGTATATATTTATTAATAATTTTATTCGCTGGTATTCGAAGATAAAAATATCATTATAATTCAGATGTAGAACAGATTTTTTTATTATACAATGATCCAGACGCAATTCAGTATTTTCATTAAAATAAATATGATAACAGAATAGATGAAGGAGTAAGTTGTTTATTTTATGCAACGAATGCCATATTGTAGTGATTCTGCCGAATGATTCTATACTATGGTAGTTCTGTGCTGTTTGTGTTGATAATATGCATGATGACGATGTTGCAAATGAAAACAATGAATCAACGATAACAATCTACAATTCAAGATTTTTGACGAACTGTAAAAATAATTGTAGGCATAGTACTATCTACAGTAGAATATATATTTTTCTGTCTTAGTTTTATCGTATTTTATGAAGGGCGTCAGTTAAGAACGTAGTCATTCTACTAAAGGGTACTTCATATTATGATCTCTATACGAGGAAACAATTCTTTCTCTAAATTAAAAGAACGTATTGGAAGATTCTTATTTATCAGGATCTGAGCTTTGCAAGCATAATACAAGAATGATAAATTTTTAATTTTAATCGACGACTCGTTTGTGTCCTGTCGTTTTACGCATGTTCAATAGGAAATAATCCATTTGTTACTCGATGAACAATTACAACAGATTCGACAACATGCACAGCATTGCTAAAAAAATTTGTCAAATATTAACAACGGCTATATGGCTATAAATAGTTTACTATTGTTGTTTGTTACTTTTCTTCTGACTCTTTTGGATATCCATCAGATAACTTGCTCGTATTCTTATTGTGTCTTTAAGAATGTTCGGTTTTCAAGACTTTTTGCATGCTATTTAATGAATTGATAGAATAATAAATATTGTTGCTTTTTGTCTAATGATATTTATTCGTTTTGGCACATGTGACATTTTTTCTATTCATCGTTCATGATTAACAGGATATCGAATGATTCACTTTCGTCGGTTTTCTTTTCTATAATCTAGTAGCACACGCATTGTTCTACTTTTACTATCGTTACTACCTGTGTTTTTTCGTTATTCACTAGTTATTTCTTGTAGTTGTGGTTAAAAAATCTGACAGAACAAATTATTTTTGCCTTTGCGAATATATTTTGATGTATCAAAATCATAAGTGCTATTGTTTTTCAAAACCTTTATCTTCCTTTTGTACTAGTAGTATTGTTCCATATTCATATTCATAGTTCAGTTCAGTTTATTGACAAACAGTCATGAACACACAATAGCAAAAGTTAAAAAAAGAAAAACATCTGGCTAATACAAAAATGTAAGGTGAGTGACATATTCTGCCACGTACCATAGTTAAATTCCTATTCATGTTCAAGGAATAAATTATTTCAAAAATGTAAGAAAGCTAATTACAAATGTTGGCTCCCTGCTTCATTACCTGTCAATGAAGTGAGAGAAATTTCCTATTATAATCTCCTTTTTGTTACTGGGAGACTGAAAGTTATTGCACGGTAAAAGAGATTGTATTGATCAAGTGAAAGGCTTAAAAATTAACATGTTTTCTCTCTTCTAATAAATTTTAGTCTTCAACAGGAATGTAGTGAGGCTGAGTATTTCAAAAGAGTTTTCCTCTTCAACTCAACGAAATGACAAAAGTCGAAATAACTCAGTTGTCTTGGAAAAATAACCTTTTTTTAAAGCATCCATAATTAAATTATCTACATTCCCCGGATGAGATAGAATCGTATGTTTTAATTAATTTTGCGTTTTTCTCTTTTCGATTTTTATAAGATAATAATGAGTTGTACTGTTTTTTTAGTGATCACTACGAAAAATTAAAATAAAACTGAAATTTGTGTTTGTTGTATTGCAAATAAATTGAGCGCGATAATGTCCTCATTATTCAGAAGAAATGGGTGATTATCTTTTAGATAAAAGATGAAAGCATCCGCTTTTTAGTATGAGCTACATGAATAAATGTTTAACTACTTCGGGTAATTACGTATGTCATCGAATCAACAGTGGACGATACAGGTGAGTTGACATAAATTCTTTTTTTGTATAAACCGATATAAAAGAAAAGGAGTACTTTTAAAGTATTTAAGTTAATTGTTTTGGTAAATCTTTGATACTTTTCACTTCGAAATTATTTAACACAAATTTACTTTCTGTTTTGTATCTATAGAATATATCAGTAAAAATGTTTCCGATGCTCATTTATGACTAATATAAGCAACAAAAGACTATTATATCGTTTATTGAGAGTTCTATGTTATAAGTAGAGAAATTCCCTGTCCCGGATCAGTATGACAGCTTCATTTATTCGGCCCTTCATGTTTCAGAAATGTTATAATTTAAATGAACTACATTTTCACTTTGAATGGATCCTTTCTGAGAAAGCTTTTCAAGCAGAAGAAATACACGCAAGAACTTTTAAAGATTATCTGCAATTGCATTTTTTATGAACAATTCTTTCATTTAAGACTGTATTATCCATGAGATATAAATTTTTTGAATGGAAGAAGCATAGCCTTGTCATCCATCTTTGTGTTTCATTCTTTTAAGGAAACATCGGGTTCGAATCCTAATAAAGTTGAACAAGAAATTCTAAATTCAATCGAACAAAATTATTTCTATGTAGAAAATTTTGATTCAAATATATTTGAATTACAGGTAATATGCGGCTGATTAATGAGAAATTTGTTTTCTACTGTTCCATTGTGTCTGTTATTTAGAAGTTATCAATATCAAAAGAAAAATTTAAAATAACAGATGTCTTATCGGTGAAAAATCGTTTGACTGTACAATTGCGAGCAGTAATATTGATCTAATTAAAGGAAAAGGAAACAATAGATCAATTTTCTTTTTATTTTAGGTTTCAAAAAGAGTATCAAAACTTGTTTTAGAAAACAGTTCATCTTATGGTGCCGAACTTCAACGAGTAACAGATTTGACATCTTCACTGCAACAATCAGTATCAATCTGTGCAGCGGCACGACGGTATGTATGTACTTGTAATACATAAAATTATTAAATACGAAAGTGAATATTTCAGAAATCTTAGACAAGCACAATATCAAATGACCATACGTAAGTTGAGTCTCATCAAAAATGAAATGAGGAAACAACAATGGATTAATCTTTTAAATAATATGAAAAAATTAAAAAAATTAGTATGTTTATTTTATAAAACTTTCGTATACTTTTCTACCACTCATTCTTCTTCTTTTTTTAGCATCGAATAGATGAAAAACTTAAAGAAATGGTCAAGGTAGGCATGTAATTTATACTAACATCCAATACTGAGTACATTTTTTCTATTAGCAAGAAGATTTTGCCGGTGCCATTGAACTTTGTTCAGAGTGTCAGCGAGCTGCTGATGAATACAAAGAATATGAGTGTACACGGTAATAAATTATTGACTCTCATTCAATTGTTCTCTTTCAATTTCCCTTTGTTTTTTCTTTGTTGAAGTGATCTTTCTTCGAAATTTCAAGATACATTACTCGGTAAATGGATAACGGCAAGTTTTATACTGTACAAACTACTAACATTCTCTTAAAATAATAGGTATAGAAGAGTCAATTGATGTCACCATGGGTAAATTATGTTATCATTTTAATGAAGAAACATATCAACGATTATTAACTGCCTACAGTTTATTAGGAAAATCTTCAACGTTTATGGATCAATTACAAATGGTAAACAAAACAAAATACAACGTTTACTTCTTTAATTCTATCTATATGTTCTGCGTCTTTTTCTCATTCAAGCATTTTATTAATATTATACAAACACATACAATTGAAATATTAATAAAAACTGTGGAGATTGAAACAAGAATAAACGACACAATTTCGTCATCAGCTACACCATTATCCAATAAATCTTACGTTGAATTATGCAAAGTATGAAAAATTTTCATTTTTCTTTGTTTTAATCTATTTATTCATTACAGCCATAAAATTTCTTGTTGAAAAAAATAGTAAAATTCAAAATATTTTCTTTATTCTAGCTCATCAATAATGATACATATTTATCATGTTTACATGAATTAAATATGTGTATGTGGCAAGTAATCAAGTCTTATCAATTACTTTATTTATGGCATAAAAATAATACTCAAACACAATGTAAATAAGATTGAAAAATTTGATACACAAAATGTTTCTTCATATTTTTTGTTTTTACATTAGTTGTTAACGAAAATCTTGAACCAAATCAAATGTTTATTATTCAAAAATTAGAAACTGGTTCTATTCGATTATGGAACGAAATACAACAGAAAATTAAAATATTTATAATTGAAGCTGATATAACAAATTTTCAATTTGACATATTCATACATATATTGAAAATTATAAATAGGTAATTAAAAGACAAATATTTTTTTGTTATTGTTGATCTATTTATAATACAATGACATGTATTTCTAGATTAATAGAAATTGGCGAACAATTTTGTCATAGTGACTCTATAATATTGAAAGAAGCTCTAAGAAAACAAAGCGTCAATTATTTTTGTTCATATCATAGTGCACGTTTAGATGAATTAAAATTATTTTTGGAAAATGAATCATGGGAATGGTGTCCGGTTAAAACAACATTTCACATTACTCAATTACATGTGAGTTGAATTAATTGTATTATAATTATCCATCTCGTTTCTTATTATAGGAATTTCATTTTTTACGTGATTCATCATCAATTACATCTGATTTAAATACATCAATATCATTTAATCAAAAACAAGAAATCAATTTATTTGACTATTATTTATATAATGATAAAGAAAATCCATTTGATATTGAACAAAAACATCAATTAAATCGAGATGACGATAATGATACGGATTCGATAGAAGATGTACTCGATGATGAAAGTCAATTGGTAAGTTTATTATATTTTAGTTTTTTTTCTAAATTAAAATTTGTATTATGTATTCATTTAAAGTATCGTGAACATCAGATAAATTCGAGCACGAATGATTTCTATGATAATGACGACTATGAAGATGAGAATGAGAAACGATCAGATCAATATCATTCCTTGAATATATCGTATGTATTTCTATTTCGTTTTAAAAATAATAACATTTATTCGTGTCTCCATAATCTTAGTCCTACACAAGACAATTATCGTCGTTCACGATCGAAATATCATGACAAGAATGGTCCAGCTATTGTTACTAATACAACATTGAATGTTACAAGATTATTTGGTATACTCCTTTTTTTTGTTCTCTATTCGAAAAATATTGATAATTATTATAATTTTAGGACGCTATATGCAAATGATTGATGTTTTAAAACCAATTGCGTTTGATGTTATTATTTGTATAACTCAGTTATTTGATTATTATTTGTATACTATTTATAGTTTATTCGCGTGTGATATGGTAATGGTAGTTGGAACTATTCTCATTACTTATGCGAAGAATATATTTTACTTTATTTCAGAATGAAATACCTCTAGACGCCTTGAGTACTAAACTACGGTTCACAATCAAACGAATAAGTGATAATCTTATTCAAATGGTATTTAAAAGTTGACTTCTCTTATTTTCTTTAATGATTAGTTTTCTCTCTGTTTTAGTCGGATCAAGCGCCATTGGAAGCTAAAGTAAGAAAATAGAAAATAAAATAGTGAAAAATTAAATTTTAATGTTCAATTTTTGTTTAAGGACAAAATTGCTCGAGCAAATTTGTCACCTCTTGTGGACATCAATAGTTTAAATAGTGTATTATATGGTCTTCCTCAACGTGTTGTTGCTGCTGAATCACTCGTATTTTTGGCACAACAATTTGATTTTTTATTACCCTACTTAAATCAATTAATACCAAATGATAAACGTTCATTCTTGACTCAGTTTTATTCACAAACTGTTCAAGTAACACATGAATTACGTATTCCAATTTATCATAATGTTTCAGCGAATGTTATTGATTACATGTCCATAGCGATAATGATATCAAAAGTAAATTGGGACATCCACGATATAATGACACAACACAATGTTTATGTTGATGTATTAATTAAAGAATTACAAACATTTCGAACAAAATTCGATGATATTAATGAACAATTAGTACCAATACCAAAAGCAGTTTATATCACCATTTGGGATCAAATATTGGATAAAAGTTTCTATACATTAGTGGAAGGGTATATTGTATTGCATTTTAGTTTTAGTTACACGTCATTTTGAACTAAACCGGATAAGGGAACAGAGAAAAATCCTAGTGCATAGTAATAGTAAGACGTTTCGATAGGAGGAGAATAAGTTCTGTCTGTATACTTTCAAAAACATACCTGTGTCATTTATTATAGATATGCCAATATAAAACGTTGTTCAAATGAAGGACGTGCATTAATGCAATTAGATTTTCAACAATTATTACGAAAATTAGAACAAATTGTTGTTGATCTGAAGTAAGAGTGTTAGAGAACCTCCGGTGAATTTTTTTCCTGTTTTTCCTGTTTCTTAGACCGTTACCGCACAGAGAATTTGTTGAAAACTACATTAAAGCCTACTACTTACCAGAACAATCTGTTGAACAGTGGATTCATAATAATACGGTAACAAATTCAACTATTTTTTTCGTTCTGTTTTGTAATAAATAACCTAATTTTTACTATTTAGATGTATACACCAAAACAGCGTACTACCCTAGTCTCAATGATGACTCATTTGAGTAGACGAACTCGGACGCGTTTAATCCAACTTCTGGATGAACGTGAACGCTCTCGTACGCCAGTAACAAAGTCCTGATAACACCCTGACTCTTATCATTCATCATCCATTTATGTGTTGACCAATTTTCATTTATTATCAGTGATTCGTTCTGTATTTATTATCGTCAATTATCAACCAATTTTTTACCCACAATAACTGATTTTAGATACTATGGTTGAGATCACAAGTTGTATAATAACATATTTAATCATCAAAATCTTCAGCATTTACTTGTTGTGTACTAGAAACAAAATGAATCTCGTATAAGTATTACTTGACTGTACATCTCTATCTTCGGTTTTTTTCTTAACTAAAAATGAATGCGCAACGTTTTATTCTCCATTTTTTACTTTCTGTCTGTCTTATTCCGTTTGTTTGTGATAAATTTGCTTTTTTTATGTCAAATTTTGTAGTTTAAACACTTCCAGTTAGTGTGTTGTATCTTGCATCTAGTCAAATGAATGAGTATGTAAGTAGAACTGTGCGCTTTTTTTGTTTGTTTCTTGTCTAAATATTTTTGATATGTATGAACGTTAATATTTTCTAAAAGAAACACCGAATACACTACACTACCTAGGTAAACAAGTGTACGGTACGAAACCATAAAAAACTAATAACGTACCAAAGTTTTTCGTACTGGATTCGGATGGTATGGTGATAGTATGAATGGTACCGGAAAAATGTACGAAACCCAAAACTTTGGTACCAAACCATAAAAATTTTCATCTGGATAAGTGTCCGAAGAACAGCAGTAGTGAACACTGGATTCTTAGATGCAGTAGTAGATGGGGTTGTGCTTCTTCATAGGATAATTTTTTTCTAACCGAAAAAGGCGTCAGGTTTGCTGATTGCAGTTGGGATACGGAGAAAACTGAGAACTGTAGAAGAGTGTGCATAGAGAGACATAGTTCATTCTACTTCGTATTATTTTTATTTATATTTGCTCTTGAGTAAAGCTTGATGCTTTTTAGTCGATTAAAGTTTAGCTCTAATAAAGGTAGCGATGGTCATACTATTCAAAATTCCTTTTTAAATAAACTGTAATGCATGTTGTAGTGTAATTATAATTCTGCTGTGCATACCTGCCCTATTTCTGTATTGTTTTGAGTCTGCTATAAAAGATTTATATAACTTTTAAAACAGAAAAATAGTTGATCTACATTGAGTTTAAACTTCAATACTCAGTCAGAAATTCTAACTAGAATAAATGAATAACGATAGATAGTGGAATTTTGTACAAATACATTGAAGCTGTCTTATTCGTAATTACTCTATAAGAACGACTTTTGCAATGAGAACTTACAATGGATTTATGAGCCAATTGAGAAATGTTTTACACGCAACAATTGAATCCTCATTTTTCGTGATCCCATTCAATTATTCATACAAAATTACTAAAAATCCTAAATTTTTGGACGTTCAAACTTGAACATGGTGAACCATGAGCTTTTTGTGACTAGTTCGTCGACCAAATTTTTGAAGAGTCAATTACGTAGAATTCTGATTAAAATTCAGTTGTTTTATTAGTTCATTTCTGCAGAAAGACGAAGTTGTAAATTAACGTAATATTTCGGACCATGGCTATAAAATGATACTAATTTCATTTTGTAGAAACTGGAAAATATGAGTTGACTAAATGCAAATGTCATATTCGCGATCAGCATGGGCAACTCCGTCCAACGAAATGTCTTGTGACTTCTTTTGAGCAGCTTTTTTTCGTATTTAGGAAAACGCCTTTGGTCCTCGGTCATTCATTTGCTGTAAAGGACAAGAAACTCCAAATCATGCTTTATTTTATCAATTTATCCATATTTCACTCGGGATTTGAAGTGTAAAAGTGAAACATACATTTTTCTGAAAACTTTTAAGTTTTTACTCAAAATCGATGAAGGAAGAGTAATGGCGTTATTTTAAGTTGCTCAAAAGAAGTCAAAAGGCACTTTGTTGGACGAACTTTTCCATCCTGATCACAAATGACATTTGTGCTTAATTGCCAACTAGGATTTTCTCATATTTTCCAGTTTATCAAAATTTTCAACATGTTTGGAAACTTTTTTTTATACTTAATGCAAAATTTAGCGCTGTACAAAATGACATTAGTTTCATTTGAGGCTTATGTTTCTGAATACAGATTTAAATGATTTTCGCAACTCCAAATATTATTCCCCCTCTCCATTGAATTAAATCGTTCAGAATTTCATTTGATATCAGATTAACATAGAGTATTATTTGTCGTCTTTGTATCACTAGTATAGTCTACATTCTTAGGTCATAAAATGCAAACCAAAATAATATAGTGTCTCTATTTGATTCGTCTTGTAATAAATTTTAGGTGGTTGTCAATAGAGAATTTTTTTCTTTTAGTCTTTACTCTACTTTGTCTTTTCCAATGATCATTTAGTTTTCATAAGCACTTCGCACAAATGAACATTTCAGAACGGTGCTGGTTTATACATTATCGAGCTTTCGACTGGTTTTTTATGATTTATAAGTAGATTTATAAAAGTATTTTTATTTTTTATTACGTGTTTCATAGAAACACGGGCCGACGCATCCGATGCAGACTATTCGAAACAATCATAAACATTCACCATTATATGCGCCAGATTGAAGTTTTAACGATCGTTTTTTTTCAAAAGGCGTTTGTCAATCAAAAACATACTCTAGGTCCGAGACACGTAGCATTTTGTCTGATAACTCTGTGTCCATTTTTGAAAACAATTTTTTTAAAAACTGGATAACATAAAATGTCTTGTCTTATTAATGAAACTCAACAGAAAATATGCACAAAATAACAAAATATTTAAAAACTTTGTTCTATAAAAATAAGAAACAAACTATATGCATATAGATACAAATAAATTCAAAACGGACATTTTTTCTTTTTCTGCTTCCATCCTTTTGGAATATCATCTCCACCGAGACTATCTTCATCCGAACTGTCATACTCACCTTTTTTATTTGTTCCTAGAACCCTAAAATATAAAAAAGTAATGTAAATTAATAAATGGGACAAGAGTGATCAAAGAGTAGATGGAAAAGGCTATGCACTTGAAGATAAACAAAAGATCATGTGACAAACAAGCTGACTTACAAATTTCTCAACCTTTTTTCTTGTTCTTCATCCAAATCATTTTCATTTTCTTCTTCAAACGTTGGTTCATATTCTGAAAAATCATTCATCCTAGATTCTTTTTTGTCATCCTCACTATCGTTTGTATCACTACAAAAATCATCCATTTCTTTTTCCATTTCTTCTAATTCATTCGTACTAAACATTAATTTATCACTGTCATCTTGCCGCCATCGTTTGCGATTATTATCGCCATATTCTTCATTATTTTGAGCAATAGGAGAAACGAATGTTGAAGTCGACACCAGTTCATCATTGTTTGTACTTGACTTCGTACCTGAATCTTCTCCTTGAAATATCTACAATTGTTCAAAATGTTCAAACTGTTACTATTCTGCTAAACGTTTATCATGCAGATCCTTCTCTATCAGAAAGTGTACAATTTCATTTTGTTGTTCAATTTTAAAGTTGTATGCATACTTGACTTTCTTGTAACGTTTCAGCTATATTCCGAGTGTTTTGGTCTCCATTGATGGTATCTGCTACTCTATTCTTTGTTTCTGTTGTTTTATTTTGTTGTTCATCATAGCGATGATGATGTTTACCTCCATCACTTCTCAGACGTTTTATTCCGCGTGATTTTTCATCTGTGAATAGTCGAAATTTACTAATATCATAATTATTATTAAATATATAATTCATTTCATTCTTATGTTCCCATTGTTCATAACAATCAATTAACCATTCGAGTGTAATAACATAAATATTATGTTTTCTTGCACGATGTACTTTTTGTGTTTCTTTTCCAGCTACTAAATGTGTTGTTCTTATATTTGTTTTCATATGACCACCATTATCTTTTAAAACTAAATCTTTTGTTACATTTGCACCTAATGCTTTAGCTATAATATAGGCTCGATATTTTTCTAATGATTGATCTACGTGCATTATACCACTAAAGCACATTGATACATCACTTAATATCTGTCGTCGAATATCTGGCACAATTTGTTTTAAATCAGGCATTGAATTATGTTGTTCTGTTTGCAACCAAATATCGTAGGTATTATAAAATACTTCATGTATATGTTTTAAAATAATTTCCAATCGATTAAGATAAATATCTTCATCTCGTTTAATGATATTGGAATAATTGTATGGTATGTTTTCTTGTTGTGATTGCTTTTCACCTAATGATGTTAACTTTGATGTAGTTGAAACGTCTGAGAATGGTAAATCATTCATCAGTAATCTGAATTTAGCCAGAATAATACAATACCAAAGTATAATGTATAAACGATTTGATTCAACTTACTTATGATGTATAATTTGTTCATTCACTTCAACAAGTTTATCATTATCTCCCAATTTTTTTCTATTTAAAGCATCTATAATACCATTTTCATGATTGTTGTCAACAATGCCAGTATTAAACGGTCGTTTTTCTGCACGTGACAGATTTTGATTAATGTTATTCGATGACTGCAATATATTTAAATGTTCAAGTATCATGTTATTTTCAATTTTCTTTTGTTCATTCTGAATTTGTTGACTATTTTCTAATTGTTTTAGAGATTCTTGTTCATTAATTGGTGGTATAAGTTGATTACTTGGCAATGGTAGTGATGGCAAAGAAATATCGTTAATATCACCAACATTTTCAAACCATAAGTATGGTTTAACATGAACAAGATTTTTTGCATAATTCCATACATCTTCACGATCATCGATTATACAGACTAATGAATCACCACATGGGAATAATGAACTGACATTAGAAAGAGAGATAAATATTTTTTTTTTTTCATTTATTATGTGTCAACTGAAGATTACCTCAAATTAGCAGTCTTTTTTGTTTGATCAAGACATTCGTCGCGTGATAGAATACGATCTATAAAATTATAAAATTAAACTTGAGATTATACAATTATTCTCAATTGTTTGTTCTATGTACCATAAAAAAATTTCTTATCAGGATCAATAAAACTAACTATTTTATGTGCATAAAGTCTTTCGCCAAATGTGACAATATGAAATTGATAAAATGGTAATAAATTTGTTAAAAATTCTTTCACACCTGGACGAAGTTTTGTATAAAATATGGCATTATGTAACGAATAATGTATAACATCCTAAAATATAAAATTTATTATCTATCAAATGTCTACTATTACTATTATTTACTTTAGAATATGGATAATGTTCAGCGTTTGTTGTATGAATTAGAGTTTGATCTAAATCAATAAGTAAGTCTAATTTCCGTGATTTTAATAAACTATTGCGATCTTCTATTCCATATCGTTCAGCATTCTACAAAAAAGAAAACATATAAACATAAACTCAATAATGTATAAAAATTGTATACCTGTTGTGTAATCCTCACTTCTGGTCTTGTAGGAATCATTGACACAGAAGCTGCTAAGTTATGATTAAATGTTTCTGTTTCCATCTGGCTTTTAGCAAAGATAATAAATATAAAGTTACAAATATAATTTCTTATTAAGCGTCTTACTGTTTTAAATCGATACCACAATCACCACACATAAAGTTGATTAATGTACTATGTGTACACTGTTCATACTCAAGTATTATTGAACTAGAACAAATAAAATAAATGAGCTATAAAAATAAATAGCCAATGATTCAATATTAATATTCAACTTACCCGAATGATAATATATCATTTTCATGAGCATACAGTTTGGAAACTATTGCGGTTATTGGAGATACCCAAACTTCTTTCTTTGCCGCTATATCAAAAAGAGGAGATATTTAAATATTTATTTTGTTAATAGAAAAAAAGTGATTTACACACAGCAGAATTTAATACACTTCACACTTCTAATATATCAAAGTTTGTTATTTTTAAAATAGTCGATAACGAATTTCATCGAAGATCTACTATACTAGTGTATGAAACAACCTTTTACCTGAATTATTTGCATCAATCATTGTTAATATTAAACCATTTTTTGTTAATTTTGAATTCTCCTTTGTGAAGACTTTCAAAACTCGTACACATTTTTCTATATCAAATTTTAATTCTTTACTAATACTCATTTGTTTGTCTTTTTTTTTTATCAAAAATAAAAATTGATTAATTGTTAAAATATATTCTCAAAAATCAAGTCATTGTGCTCAATATCTAAATTTTAAAAGAAAAGAAAAAATCTTTTTGAATTTAGGATTTTGTTGCAAGTAAAGTTCAGACATTGCATAATATCAAATTTGAATTTTTAGATTTGGTTGAAAATTTTTAAAAGTCGAATTCAATGTTAAAATAAGACTCGATCACTAGTTATTTTTTTCTAACATTTCATTGTACATATTACACACTTGCTTCTACAACTACAATAGAAGATGCTAAAAAAAGGTTGGACATTCGAGCAAGTGTATTTATCATAAAAATATGTCTCATTAAGAAACAGATAAAAACAAAATTAACAGCATTATAAAAAGAAAAAAAAAGAGAGGAAAAGAAAATGTAAAGCAAATAATCGAGCCAAACGCTGTCTTTTTAAAACAGCGAAACGTGTCTTTAGTATTTGTCCAGCATTTCGATCAAAATTCATAAAAATTACATGAAGCTACTGTTCAATAAAACGAAGATGTACGTACGTATTTGGAGTAAAAATCCAAATGTGAATTGATCATACAGTAGGTTTTAGTGAAGACAAATAACAAAATAATTCAACAAGGAAGAAATAAGAAATAGTTTTTCAATTGACTCAAAACAAAAACAAAACAAAAACAAAGAGATTCGTATCAAATATCGTTAATTTTAAAAAATAAAATATCATTAGTCGATAATAAAGGCACGTGTAACGTAGTTATCTTACATATTTTCCTCTTTCTCTAATCTACGCGTACTTGAAAAACACATTTTTTTTTTCTGAAATACGTTGACTAGTGCGAAAATAGTTCGCCGTTTGTTAAACATATAAACAAAACAAAAGAAACGTGACGAACAAAAAATAAGTATATCTGTTTACTAACAAAAATAAATCGTTTTCTTTTTTCTTCTTCTTCCTTCTCTTTACGATAGAAAACACAGCACCTCAATATAGAAAATTGTAATAGAAGTCATACTTTGAATTAAACATTTAAATAGATTCATTCTTGACAATCTTATAAAACAAATATTCTCTAAAGATGTTATAACATTCATATATATATATATTTAACTTTTGCACCATTCAAAACTGTAAAAGTAAAATATATACTACAATGTTATATGCTGCAAAATAATTAATATTAAGCAATTATTATTGTTTTTCTGTTCGATTTTTAAAAATCTTAATATATTAGTAAAGATTATTGAGTATGATTTTCTCTACTCAAAGAAACAGATTGTAAATCAAAATTTTGACTACAATTTATATGGTTAAAACAATAAAGTTTCATAAGATTGTCAAGTATTATACTATGCCTTTTTTTAAAATTACAAAAAAAAATTTCATAATGATAAATTCATTCGTGAAAAAAAGATATAATAAAGAGAGAAAAATGATCTCTGCTTTTGAACTCATTGTACAAATGTTTTTATTTAATTTTTTTTCATACAAATATATTGTTTTTAGATGTTGTTGGTTTTTTTGATACTCCAGTTGCTGCTTCTGCTGCTTGTTGTTGAGAAAAGAAATTTTGTTTTTCAAGTGAACGTGGTACATATTTATGTTTTGACCAAGCATGAAAACATTTTCGAAATTCAGCAGGTTCATTATTTTTAACGGTTAGTCTTAATTTTCTCGGACGATCTTGTTCACGATTGCGTAAATGTTGAATATAAAGCTAAAATAAAATGATTGAAAAATAGTGCAATCATATTTTATTTTTCTATATTGATAATATTCATACCTCAGCACCTTTAGCAGCAAACTTTACTTCGGTAATGTTTGCTGTTGGACCTTTCCACAAAAATACATACACACCCGTATCTAATAACATGCAATCATCATCCAAAAGATCGTCCTAGGAAAATGAATATTTTCTATTGAAAAAACAATGTATGTACAGTTTCACTTTATCATAGTCTTAAATTTCTGTATGTACATAAAATGTGTCATTAGTCTAGTATTTAGGTCTAATCTTCTGACAAAATTCACATTATATAACTGCTTGGAAAAGAAAGAGACAGTTTTGTCAATATTATCTCAAAAGTATGATATAGTTAGTAAGAAATAGTGTTACTTAAAGCATTTTTTTTTAATATTTGATTTTGTTTAAATAATCAACGACTATATACCTGACAAAAGTCTGCATATTTTTCTGTTACAAGAAAGTATCCATTTTCATTTGAACATTTGAATAACCGCATATGACGCATATAATCAGCTGACTGAAAAAGAAAGAGAGTACGACGACAGATATTTTGGTTAAAAATACAAAATTTATTTTATAAACATACACTATCGTATGGATGTCGACCACCAAGTCCAACCCAAAAGAAATTTTCCGGTTCACTACCTTCGTTAATAACTTGAATTGTATAAGAATCCTTAAAAAAAAGCATCAAATTTGAAAAAGTTGTTCACTATTAATCGAAAGTATAATCTTACATTGTACATTTCGTTTGCTATTTCTTGTGTTAAAAGTGCATCTTCTTGATCAGCTGAATTTCCGATCCAAACATAAACAATACCGATTATATCACCCGAATCTAATGGTACAGTAACGATATAACTAAAATATAAAATGAAAAAAACAAATTTGAATAAAGAAAAATCAATCAGATGGTTTATTTATTATTTTACCAAAATTCTGAGCATAAATTAGATGCACTCGGCTCTATTTGTATACAGCGTGTTAATATAGTTGAATAAGACCATCTTAAATGAAACATTTCTGTTTGTTGTAGACGTTGATTTGGTTGTTGTTGTCGTTGAGTGGCTGTACGACGTTTACCATTGCGAATAATAAACTTTCGATTAAAATGAGACATAAATCGTTGATTTTCTTGTTGCTAAAAGACACAGGAAAATTGTTATGATTTTAGAAGATAAGACTAATAGAATTCAATTACCTGCATCAACTTAACTATCTCAAATTCGCCAAGAACATCAATTAGTTCTTGTCTAAAACTAAAAATAACCAAATATCTGATTATCAATAATCTAATACAAAAATAATTTAAAGACGTACGTAAAATTAAATGAGAACCATGCCGCATTATTTGCGTCTCGTCCTTGCCAAAAATAAACAAATTTTTCTGTATCAGACTCTTTAATTTCATCGTCTAATTCACTATTATCCACGTTATCAGGATCATCTTCTGGTAATAAATATCGAGCAACAAATAAATAACAATCACGTGAATAAAATTGACCTAGGAAGAAAAAAGAACAAAATAAAATGAGACATAATCACAATGATGACAATTCTCAACACATACCACGCTCATCATCAGGTAATTTAACAAATTTTTTATTTTCAAATACAAACATTGAAAATGGTTGTAATAAAAATATATTCCATTCTTCAAGTGCTTCACGTGCTTGTTCACGTGTTTGCCATAGTGGACGACTTTTGAATAATGCTTGTAAATTACATTTCATTTCGTTTTCTTGAAGAATTTTTTTCATATCGGCTCCTTTTTTCAATACACTTTCAGCTGTTCTTGTAAAATCTACGCCAATTACATCGTCCCAACCTTCAAATTTTGATTTGAATACTTGACTTTCAACGCTAGATAAAATAAAATTTATTAAAGAGCTTATATTGCCATTATAAATTATATACATACCTTTCCAATGTTTTTGTAATAACAGCATGTGCCGGTCTGCGTATCATGGCCAATAATTCAACTGCTAGACGTGTGGCAGCCATACGAACTAGTCGTGCTGATTTTTTTCCAATCCTAAATGAGATTATTGATATTAAAATCCTCTTTAATCTTCTCTGAGAATATACACAAACCAGATGAATAATTCAGTAAAACAGTCTAATATGTAAATATTTCTTGTATGAAGTAATTCTTTTTTCAATATGCCACCATACTCCAATTCAACTGAAAAAAATATTCAGAAAAATATTCTTTCATAAGAATTGTATTGTATAGTATTAAAAGGGAAATACGTGTTCGAAGTTCGCTAGTCTGTGATCGTGTTACAGTTCTAGAACACAATCACAGACGCTAGTTCTAGATCGTGTTACAGTAAACAACACCTTCGCCGATCTCTCATTTATCCCATCTTCTTTAAGTGATCACATAAGATTTATGAAAATGGTGTTTTGAAAAACTAATGTAACTACTATGTACCAACCTTGTGGTAATTCAATAAATTCTTGCCCAAGATCCACTTTATATAAAATCGATCTTTCAGGTGTAAAATCTTCTGGAACATGATTGGTTATTTGAAAATTTGTAGGTAAACCACCTAAATCCCTCCAAAATTGAGCTGGTTCCTCACCTTGATTAATCTGAATTAATTCACTTAAAGTTTTTCTTTCACTTTTATTTACTTTTTCAACAAATAATCTAGAAATACAAAGATTTTGAGGATAAAATTGTTATTGATTGAAATACAGTCTATCTTACCTTGCTTTGTTTCGAGTTATATAATTACATTTTTTGCCATTCCATACATATAGTTTTGGCCCAATATCCAAATAGAATACGTGTCGAGGATCAAGTGACGAAACGGCTACTGGGACAAGTTCAAGATGAAGTTTTTGAGTGCCTGAAGAAAAATGAGATAAAGTCGAAGCCAGTTAAACTGAAGAAAATAGTACGCACCAGTTATACGATAAAAACGCGTTGGATGCTCCTAAAACAAAAACGAAAATAAAGCATATGTAGATCTTTTAGGCAAAATAGAATTTTAGTGAAAATAGAATAAAAAAAATAAAATAAAACTATTTCTTTTGTTCCAGTTAAAATTTATTTAAATATACCAACAAATGTAAAGAAGTCTATAGATCACTCTCTCAATTTTATTCTAAATTTTTAAGCCCACAGTAAGAAGAAAAGATCCAGTGGAACAACTTTTCAACATTTGCAGTGCATCTGTTGTTTGGAAAACGAAAATGTTCAAGTTTTAAAAAAATGAAATTATTTGTCTTAAATTTTTGCTATTCAATCGACTATTTTTCGTGTATTGAACGAAACATTCAACATAAAAAAGAAAATCGCTCAGGTAAGTAAGTAAAGCAACAAATACTCTGATGTCATTGTGATTAGTTATTTTTTGTTCAAAAACACACGAAAGCAAACAAAGAAACTAATCAGGGTCATCAATTGCCTCTACACATTTTTATCTCGACGTATTCGTTTTTCTGAATGATGAACAGAAGGAGCGGACATGAACTATGTATGTGTGTGTGTTTTTTACAAATAAGAGATCATTACATAGACTTTGAAAAACCAAGCAGAGATTTTTCTGTTCAAATTCAGATATTAATTCATTTTTGTATACTAATTTACACAACAAAGCAAGAATAAAAGCTATAGAGGAGATTATAGAAATTTTTCTTTCTTTTGTCTTTTTAGAAAATCAATAAATGATAACTTACAACATCTCGGACAACCCAGAATCCTGTTTCTGTTCTTGCACCATCAATTAAATGAATTCGATTATTGAATAGTGTTAGAAATTCTTCTGTTTCATCAGCTTGTTCTTCACGTTGTGTACGACAAGATGCACCAAGCATATTACGAAGATTAACAGCATGCATGGCAGCACAAGCTTGTTTATCCAACTAAAAACCAAAAAAGAGTAGTTTGGAAGGTCATTTGAGCTCTGTGAGGGTAATTACATGGATTAGCAAGTCTTTATGACTTTATTAAACAATCAGCTCACTGTTTATCAAAGTACTTCGACTAGTAGAATACAAGAAAAATATGTGCTTACCGTAGCATCTTTTCCGATCCAAAAATAAATTTGCCATTCAGTAATACCCGCTGGATCAACATATGTTTTCAAAATAATATAGCAATCGCCAGTATAAAATGTACCATTTAGTTGTTGTTCCAATTGTTTCGGTAAAAAATTTTCAATTTCCCAACATGTCACTCCCGTCTGATGACCAATACCATATTCAAAAAATTCTGAGTAATCTAATTGTGGACGTTCTATTTGCTCATCCCATTTTCTTCCTGAAATTTCTTCATCATGATGATTTACACCATTGGTCATTGACGTTGGATCAAACGCATTTTTTCTTGCTGTTTCACGCATACCACGTAATACTGTTTCAGAACTTTGACCAGACGCACGCTTATCATTTGCCTGATGTTGATGTTGTGGTTTATTTAATCGACGGATACGCTGAAGACGTTTTTGTTGTACATCAGGTTGTTCTTGTTCTGGTACAGATTGTCCGGCTAACTTCAGTTGATTTGTTAATGAAAAATCAACATTATAAAATGCTGCACCAGCTAAAAATAGTCACAAAAACAAACTTAGTTTTGTTATTCGTTTTTTTTTAAAAATATTCGTAGTTATATACTACCTCCACGCTGTAATTCTTTTGGTTTAGGTGGCATTTTGAAATCAGGATTATCGCTCGTATCTAATTCCTAAAAAGTAAAAGAAAATTCATTGAAGATATTAAAACAATCTTTTATTTTAAATTGAAAATGACGTACTTTCAACTGCAAGAAATGAATCGCTTCCGGTAATGTTAGCAAACGATTTTTGTTCAGATTTAACACTTTCAAACTTCCAAGTCTAATGAAAGGTTAAAGAAAACAAATGTGTTAGATACAATATTAAGTGGCTTTCTTCTACAAATACCGGCACAAAGCATCCGGGATAGTTTCCAACTGATTATCGGCCGCACTAAATATTTCTAATTTTTCTAAATTAAATATCCCACGAGGTAAACCACGTAAATCTATTTGATTCGTGTTCAAATAAAGACGACGTAATTTTGAACATTTCATTAATTGTTGCTAGAATACAAAAAATATTTAATATTCAGCTTACATCAATATCATTTAGTAATATGAGCTTGTTGTCTGAGCATAGCAACGGTCGTGGATCATTCCTTAATTTGAGTACGTTTTAAGGGTATTTAGTTCGAGAGGACAGCATAGGGTGAAGTATAAAACAAATAGTACCGGTAAACTCTTCAGCTTGTTCCTACACAAATTCAAAATTTCCAGTTGTTGCCATTGATCTAAACAGGAAGAAAAGAGACTATAGGAAAATATTTTCAATGACTAGTTTTCTACATCTATACCGGAAAAACTGGATAATTCAGTGATAGCATTGTCGCTCAAATTTAAACGTTTCAAAGATTTAATTTTATATACAACGTCCGGCACCGATGGCAAATCATTAAAAGATAAATCTAAATCGCTCAAACATGGTAACTGTTCGAGAAAAGATGGAATATTATTTAATGTGCGTTTTGTATTGCTTAAATGAAGTGTTTCTAATAATTGCATAGTTGATAATTGTCTAAAATGAAATGAGAGTTTGAAAAAAATTGGTATTCAGAAATAAAAAGTTACTGGTACCTCAGTTGAGCGTGTATTAGAGGATTATTGTTAAGAATTAATACTTGCAACGATGTTAAACGTCGCATTTGCGGTGGTAAAGTGTCTAAAATAATCAAAACTCTATATCTTGTGTGGACGCCTATAAGAGTTTCACATACCTATTTTATTATCGCTTAAATTTAAATGTACAAGTTCATATAATGAAACAAAAACATGATTTGGGATCGATTCAATTCTAGAAATTAACATACAATAATTTGAAATAAATAGAACATTGATAATAATTGTTTACTCACTGATTAAAAGAAAGATTGAGCACAATGAGACCTTTGGCATTGTCTATATCTTTTGGAAATGCTTGTAAATCATTATGACTTAAATCCTTTAAACAAAAGAAGAAAATTCATCCTTGCAGTATACCGTGAAACGAACCTATCAAACTTACGAGGACAGACAAATCTGGGTTATCAAATAGACGTGATGATATTTTTGTATTCGTCAAATGATTGTGTCTAACAGATAATGTTCTTAATGAAGGAAGTTCGTTTATACATGCTGGAACAGACGGAAGATCGTTATGAGCTAAACTAAGCTTTTCCTGGAAAAGAAAACGAACCATTTAAATATATGGTTTTGATTAAGCAGAGAAGCAAAACTCTTACCAAAGATTTTAGACTACCAATAAATTCTGGCAATTGATTAACATTTGTACGATTGAGTTCTAACCAGCGTAAATTACACATTTCAGATAACAAAACAGGAAAACGATTTTCCTGAAACAAAAGAAGTAGTTTCAAAATACCACATAGAAATCGAATTATCTAGTATATACTTACACCAAGATTATTTCTTGATAAATCGATACCATAAATAAAAGTTAAAACAACATTTGAGGGTGCCATCTGAAAATGTAAAATGTTCAATTAAGAACAGAAGACATCTTAATAGCAATATAGCTCAACATTTCTGAAGCCTATGAAGTATAAATGCATTGAAAGAACCCTATAAAAAAAATTCCAGTGCGGCACTGGTAAAAATCAGCGCGGCACTGTCAGTGCGCACCGGTGCGCATGGCATTCCATCGGTCATTGGCACTGGCTGGCACCGGTGCGCACCCATGCCCAGCAAGTGCCGATTGGCACCCGTGCGCACCGGTGCCGATATATTTCTGCTGAAAGAGTGCCGCACTGCTAAAAGTCAGTGCCGCATGGGTGCTGCACTAGCAAAAATCGGTACCGCACTGATAATTTATTTAATCAATTTAATTAGTTCTTTATTATGGTTGTTTATGCTGAATTTTGTGTTAGAGTGCGGCACTGATCAGTACCACATCG